CAGCAGGCCCTGGGCTGAGATGTTCCAAGCGGACACACCAACACCTGCCCCCCAGGAGAGCTGCTAACGGCCCTGCAGGGAATAAGCCTCTGGGATGCTTTTGTTTCTCTCTGCACTGACCTGCGGCCACTCCCCACTCCGGGGCAAGGGGGGCCAAGGTCACTCTGGAGAGGGGGGAGGCAGCCTCTCCCTTGTGTTGTGTTGTGTTGTTTTGTGTTTGAATTGTCTGCCTTAAGGATGTCTGCATGTGTCTGAGCGCGAGTGAGGGCTCCCGCGAGGCGGAGGCCATTCCTGGAGCTGAGCTCAGCCGGGTTCCAGGTAATGGGGCATGGCACGTCAGTCATTCCAGGGCGGTTCGGGGAATGGCAGGACACAGCACACGTGTTCAGGCACACCACCCCGCAGGGGCGCACGCACAGCAGCAGCGGGACACGTACGTGCACACGCTCAGCACCTGATATGCATGTGCACGAGCCGCAACACACAGCCACGCCCACACAGGTTCACAGGCTCCTGGTCACACATGTTGCTGCACACGCCGGCCCTCACAGGTGTGCACTCACTCCCAGACACACTCGAATACTCACACACTCGCTCACACTCACACACACTTGCACACACACTCACACACTTGCTCACTCTTGCATACACCATGCACTCACTCCCATTCACACACTTGCACACACTCGTACTCACTCATGCACACTTGCACACACGGCACGTTCGCTCACACTCATACACTCATTCAGTCACCTGCACACACTATGCACACTTGCTTCCTCCCGCACACACACACTTGCTCACACACACACTTGCACACACCATGAAAACGCTCATATCCACACACTTGCACACCCTCGCACACTCACACTTGCTCACACAGCTAGGGAGGAGCAAAGGGATACACAAAAATAAACTAGACTCAGGGAAACTAAAAATAGCGCCGCTGTTGGGCTCCGCTGCTGGGCTGAAGCTGGGCTGAGCAGTGGCCCTGGGCCCAGGAACAGGAAGCTCGCCACAGGGAAGGGGAAGAAGAGCAAAGCCAGGGGCCCCCAAGGCTGAACCCTCGCCAGACGCAGGAGCCTGAGAGTCGGACCCCAAACCCTGCCCGGGCCGCGCTCTCGCGACTCCTGTCTCGGGAGGGAAGCCTGGAGGGGAAGCCTGCAGCCCCCAAAAGATGCAGAGACGCGGCCCCCCAAGGTGCTGGGGCTTAGAGGCACCTGGGCAGCTCGGCTGGGCACTGGCCCTCACCCCAACGAGTCTTCTGCATATTAGGACGGGGAGGGGGCCGCACCCAGGGTACTCAGGGGCTCCCCGCTGGGCTTGGTGCCTGGGGGCCCCCTGGGGGCCGGGCTGGCCTACCAGGACCCTTTTCTTTTGGTGGCTTCGCAGAGGGGCGCCCCCGGGCACGCAGGGGAGGCCCGAGGCAGGAGGAAGGAAGAGCCGGAGCCCAGCTCCAGGTGCCCGCCTGGCACACTGCGACATGTTCTGTCCCGCCACCGCGCCCACGCCTCGCCCGAGGGGAGAACGGGCACCACATCTGCCGCTTCCCACGGGCTCCACTGCCAGGTCCTGCGGGACCATCCCCGACACCCTCTCTGTTCAACAAGCGGGCGCACCCCGGCCAGGACTCTGCACACCCCCTCCTCAGGAGTAACACTGGTGCGATGGGGGCATCCGGCCGGGGCACAGCAGTTCTGGGGCTTCCCCTGGCTCGGGGACTTCCTGCCAGGGCTCAGGAGGTCATAAGGGGTGCGGGGCGCTGGGCTGAGGTGGGTACCCCTCATACTCTCTCTGGGATCCCACTGGTGTGGCTTTTCTGGGGGCTTTCCGCCACAACTTTCCCCATGGGGGACTCGTACTAAAGGACACACTGGAAACGCAGATGGCAGGTCCGTGGGACGGCAGGGCATGTGCCCCACCACACACCAGAGATGGGGCCTGGGGCTTTCTGACATCCAATGGACGGGAAGCCCCTTTTCTAAACTCTCTTCTGGGGGGGGGGGACGAGGTGGGGCTGAGCCACCTGGTGGTCTCAGTGCTACTGGGCACCAACGCAAACATCCCCCCGCCCCCGCCCCACCCCCTATCTCTCCAGCCCCACCAGGGGCCTCTCAAGGGCTAAGCCTAGAAAGAACAAGAAAATAAAAAAGCAAATAGGAAAAAGGAAAAGAGTGACCCCCTGGAGTGCACCCAGAAGGCCCAGCTTCCTTTGCTCACACACACACACACACACACACACACACACACACACACCCCTACAACACCCAAACACACCTACACATGCACCTACACACATGGCAACTACACACACGCACCTACACACGCATGCACCCACACCCCCACACACCTACACACACATGCACACATACACACATATGCACCCATACACACTCACGCACCCACACGCACAGCTGCCTCCGTGTTCTAGCTTGTGGCTGGCAGGTGTGTGGCCCAGAGCCCTCAGGCCACCGGAGGGAACTGTGCTGCCCTGGGGTCAGTGCTCACTGGACAGTCCCCAGCTGCGCTGCAAGCGCTGAGCAACAGGGCCTGGGGCTGAGAGCCATCAGGTGACCCCCACAGGACAACCAGACTGGACACTGCCGGTTGGGGGTGGGGCGAGTCACCCGCATACAAGGGCGCACAGGGGCACTGGCTCCGCATGACCCACCCCGGCTGGATCCCGGCACCGCCACGCCCCTCAGCACCGAGCAGGGGCAGCCCCAGAGCACGGCCGGTGGCCCAACCTCCCCGCCTCAGGGACCTCAGACGACACCCCTACGGGAGACCAGGGGGCGAGGGGGCAGAGCCCACCGTGCCAGGGCGGCTACACATTGGCCAGAAAGCGTCACCCTCCCCTGGTGCAGAGCCACATGGCGGGGCACGGGGGCAAGGGTGCACACACGTGTGAGCACACATACACGGGCACACACCCGCTACACACAGGCCCATAGGCACACACCCACTACATGCACACACACGGGCTCCCACCTGCTACACGCACACACAGAGGCTCACACAGGCACACACCGGCTCCACGCACATACAGACTCACAGCCACTACACGCACACACACAGGCACACACCGCTACACACGCACACACAAAGGCTCACACAGGCACATACATGCTATACTACACGCACAGGTACACACGCACTCACGCAGGCAAACACACACTCTCACAGCTGCTCTCAATACTACACATAGGCACACTCACACACGCTACACACACAACATGCTACTCACACAGACATGAGCAGACACACTACACGCACAGGTACACATGTACTCACACAGGCACATACTCTCAGTTACACGCTACAAAGACACAGAACACGTCTCACACTCACACATACATGCACAGAAGCACTGACTCTCACACACGAGCACTCCATCTTGGGCAAGAAAACAGCTTGAGGGGCTGGAGCGATAGCACAGCGGGTAGGGCGTTTGCCTTGCATGCGGCCGACCCAGGTTCGATTCCCAGCATCCCACATGGTCCCCTGAGCACTGCCACAATTCCCGCCCGGCTCACATAATCAGGAGCACGGCCCCACACGTCGAACAGCACTGGGCCAGTCCGAGCTCATGGGGGTCCCATCCCGGGGTGCTGAAGAGGCACCCACACCTTGGGGGCCGGGGAGAGATGGGTCCTGTGCCCCCACTTCCACGTGGGTTTCCCTTCAAAGGCAAATCACACACATACATACACACAACCAACACATACACCCCAAACATCACCGCCCACATACATACACTCCACACACACAACCTACACATCACACCCCACACACATACACCCCACATATATACACTCCACACATCACACTTCATACACCCCCCTACACACACCACACACCCGACACACATCACAACCCATACACATTACACCCCTTACACCCCACACATACACCCGACACACATCACACTCATGCACCCCACACATATCATACCCCAGACACCTTACACACATACACACACGCCAGACATACATTCTATAACCCTTCACACGCACATCACGCACATACACACCAGATATACAACCACACACCTCATACATAATACACACAGATCACGTACACCACACACTGCATAATGTACATAGCAAACAGACCACACACGTATGTGTACATTCACACAACACACACACACACACACACAGGAACTGGGGCTCAGCTGAGCTCAGACACCTCCTGGCCATCAGATTAGAGAACTTATCAGAACAAGATTTGAAACCCAGAAGTCACGGTGAGGGCAGGCCAGAAAAAGACAAAAAGTGTCTGAGAACCTGAGGGAGAGTACTCACCCGCCCTCCCGCGCAGGGAGGGAAACATGCAACAGTGCCTGAAGACAGCGGGACACCCAAGGCAGGAGCAGAGACTCCGCGCACACGTGCGCACTCACACGCAGCAGGTCTGGGCAGCAGCAGACCCCAGACACACAGGCACACACATGCACACAGCAGGTACCGGTGGGATCAGACCCCCCCCACACACACACACAGCAGGTCTGTGCGGCAGCAGACCCCGGACACACAGGCACACACATATGCACGCAGCGGGTCCCGGCGGGAGCAGACCCCCCAACACACACACACAGGCGCACACACACAGCAGGTGGGAGAGCAGTAAAGACCCCAAACACACAGCAGGTCCGGGCTGCAGTAAAGACCCCCCCACACGCACAGACACAGCAGGTGCGGGCGGCAGCAGAGACCCCCGAGCACCTCCAGGCCCTGGGTCGGCCTCCCGGGCCTGCAACGCGTGGGGTCCGGCCTCCCGGCTGCCGGCCGCCCGGGGGCAGAGCGCCGCGGCCAGCTGACGGGCGGCCCGGAGGGAGGGGCGGGAAGGCGAAGGTCAGCGCGCAGCTGCGGGGACGGCGGCGGCGGCGGAGGGTCCCCGCGCGCGCCCCGGGGCCACCCGGACGGACGCCCGGACACGGCCGTTGGCGGGCGGGGGACGCGCCCGGCCCGGCCCGGCCCGGCCCGGCCCGCACCCACCTTGAGGATCTGCTGCCGGATGAGCGAGGGCACCAGCACGATCATGACGGCGCCCAGCGCGGCCAGCAGCAGCCCGAGGCCGCCCAGCGCCAGCGCCGCCCGGCGCGCTCGGACGCGGCTGCCCATGTCTGCGGCCGGCTCCGCGCGGCGCTCGCGGGCGGCGGGACGCGGCGCGGCCGGCTCGGCGGGGCGCGGAGGAACGGCCCGGCGGGTGGCCAGCGGTTTTATGCGCCATCGCGGGCACCGCCGGACCGCCCCCGCCCGCCCTGGGCACTGGGATTCGGGCCGCGCGGGCGCGGGGGCGGGGCGGCGCGGGGCGTGGTCTCGGCGCCGGAGGGCGGGGCCTGGATGATGGGCGGGGCTTGGAGGGCGGGGCCTCGGCGGGGATTGGGCGGGATGGGGATCGGACGGGCCGGGGCGGGGCCTCGGCCCAGGACACGCCCCCAGCGCCGCCGGCCTTATTCCCGCGGGCAGGCGGGTGCGCACGTGCCGCGTGTCCGTTGGGCCTGGCCCCCCTGGGCTCCCCTCCCCTCCCGTCACTGTTTCGGAGGGTCGCTCTCCCCTGCCTCCTGGTCTCCTCCCTGCTGCTCCGCGCGCGTGCCCGCCTCCCCCTACCCCCCCCCCCCGCCCATCTCCCCTCCCCGCCCCCGCCCCTGTCCCGCTTCCTCCCTGCGACCGTGACATTGTTGTGTTTAGTAGGAATTTCCCAACTCTCCAGGGACACCAGAGCCCCGCCCCATCTCCGCGACCCCTGGACAGACAGACAAACACGCACAGAGGTATATAGACACACGCGTACTCACACCTACGCACCCATACACATGCACACATATACACACATACACGTGTATATACACCCACATAAACACACTCTCTCCTCCCTCCTCTCCCTCCCTCTCCCTCCATTCCTGCCTTTGGGCCTGGCTTTGGAATTCTGTCCCTCCTTGGGCCCTTATCGCAAAGCCCCCACCAACCCCCCACTCCACAGAAGGGAAAATAGCCCCAGCCCTGCCCCTTCATCAGCCCAGGCCCTTATCATGGGCACCACCTGGCAGCCACTCACCATGGCTCCCAGCAGCAGGTCAGTGGCTCTGGCCAGGCCCAGGCCCCGAGCCTTCACCCAGCAGCCTGCGACCGGGTTAGTGAAAGGGGCCCGGAGAGAGCGGAGCCAGTACCCCCCTCAGCCCGAGCACTGGCGCACCGGGCTAGGTTGGACACATATCCCTGGGCCAGAGTCGTCCCTGAGGAGCCCCCTCCCCAGAAAAGCTCCGAGGAAGTAAAGCAGGGCCCCCGCCCCCTCGTGATGCAGCCTCCGCTCTCCGGAGGGGCTGCTACGAGAGCCTGGGCCTCCTGGGACCCCGCGGCCCATGTACAGAGACGGTAAGCCAGGCCGTGCTCCAGGCCACACGTGCTGGGGGAGGCTGCGGCCTTCTCTGGCCAGTGTTTGCTCAGCTCTGATGCTCTCCCTGGGCCGGGCACTCGGCAGACGTCTACCCTTCAGGCTCTTTACCACAGAGTCCTGGGGTCAGTGGCCTGCTGGCCTCTGTGCCTGCCTCTTGCCTCTCCCGTTGGTCCCCCGGCCCAGGGAGATGGCATCGGAGAGTGACAAGTTTAGAGCAGGTGCAGGAGAGGTGAGCCTGGGTCTCCACACCTCACTCCGCTGGCACTCTCTGGCCCAGACGGCTGGCCTGCTTCCAGCTCCTTCGAGTCCCAGCTGTTCCTGCCACAGGGCATTTGCACTTGCCCTCTCCTCAGCCTAGAATGCTCTTCCCCCACATGCCCCCGGGGCAGACTCCTGTGCCTGTAGAGAGGCCAGTCTCTTCAGCTCCAGGAATCACTCCTGGCCCTGAGACCCACTCAATAAAGCCTGAAGAAATGAATTGGCCCATTTGTTTATTCCTCTCTTGTTGATTTATCTGTCAGCTTATTGCATTTGATCTGTTGATCTATTAAGAAGGTTACTGCATTGAACCTAGAGAGATAAGGCCTCCAGCTGCCAAGGCACCGGCTTGTGCCGGCCAAGCGACCTGTCCGGTTCCTGCAGTTATCTGGGGTCTGCCCTGGCCCTGACCCCTGTTCCCTCACTTGCCTTGAGCATCGTCCCATAAACATGCCTCTATCCCCGGCCTCCAAGGTCCCCACATGCGTGATGCTTATCCAAGAGCCCCCAAGGTTGGGCCAGGGGCACACATGAAAGAGGTCTCTGGCCTCGAGGCGGGCAGCCACTTCCGAGGGGGGGTGACCTCAGGAGGGGCTGTGTCATGCGTCATGCGGCAGAGGCCTTGCAGGGGAAGGACGGGCCGAGATGGCCCCCAGTCGGGCCTGGGGCCTGCTCTGGAGAAGCCCCCCCGCCCCCGTGGCAGAGGCGCAGGAGGGCGCCAGTGTGCCCACATCTGTCTCAGAGGCAGGGGTCCCTCTATGGCGAGTCCAGGCCCCAGCCAGAGAGTAGGGCCGGGGGTGCTCTCCCCAGAGTTAGGGGGGCTGCTTTGGGGGGCAGAGCATTCTGCCACGGAGCCCACTCGCTTGTCTGGAGCACCCCACGCTGAGTCACCGTCACGTGCCCTGGCAGCCGGCACATGACGGGGCATCGGTCCCAGCATGGGCATCCTCAGTGCCCCCCACCCCGAACAGGCCCCCAAAAGTGTTGGAGGCCCCAGGACCCATCAAAGAGAAACCCGCCCCCTGAACCCGCTCTCACCACCACCCAAGGTCACCCCACCGGCCTTTGACCTTGAGCACGGCCCCAGGCTGGTCTCCTGCCTCCTGCCCCTGTCCTTGCTCAAATGTCACTGTCAGCAGTGGCTTCCTGGCCGCCCCTCCCTGCGGCCCGCAGCACCCCCATGCTCCCGGGCCCCTCCTGCTGCCCGGGCTGGCACTCCTTGGTACCCAGGACGGAGAGAAGCAGGGCTTGAGGCCAGTATCGAGGCCCCTTGGCAGCACTGCCCACTCCGGTACCACCCTGGGAGCCACCCGGCTCAGTGGCCGGGGACAGTGACTGACCCGCGGCAGGTCCGCGCACTCCGGCGACCCGGGGACTCCTCATGAGACGGAGCCTCACTGCTCGGTGCCCTGCAGGGCTGGCATCTTGCCTGGGCCCATCTTTGCTGGGAAAAGGGGCTCACGGAGGAGAGGAGGAAGGAAGCGGGTGGGAGAGGCAGGAAGTTGTCGGGAGAACCGCGGTCACGCGCGCGGCCACATCTGCCGCCCGTGTGGCCCTGCGAGCCACGCCCACCATGTGCCCTCTGCGCAGTGCTCGGGGTGGGGCGGCTCCGGGCCCACGGCGGAGCCGGGCAGCACCAGAGCCCTGCAGACGGTGCCAGCCTCAGGCGAGAGGGAACCAGGCAGCGCGGGTTTCCAGGACAGGGGTGAGAAAAAATACCAAAGATTCCCACGCTTTTATAGCTGATTTTCACAACGGTGTTGTGTCGGGAGGGCACTAAATGGTGTGTGAAATCAAAGAACACACCTGCCGCTCGATCGGGCTGGAGACTTCGCCCACAGGCTTGACTGTGTGTTTGCCGCAGCTGACCTGCGGCCCAAGGTCAGTGCCCTGCACGGCCCTGCCGGCTCCACCCTGAGCCCTGAGCACGGCCAGGAGCACCGGTGAGCATTGCCAACTTCCTCCCCCAAGTCCCCTTCTAAGACAAGCGGGAGCAAATGCTGGCGTGGATGCGAGGACAGGAGGCCTGTGTGGTGGTCACTGGGGCAAACGGTGAACAATGCGCCTTCCTGAGAACAAACCAAGGCCAAGACATTGCCCCTGGGCCGGGCGAGGCTCTGGCAGGACCTGAGCAACAATAACAGTTTCAACCCCCAGTACCCGCACAAACTTGTTCGTTTGTTTGGGGGCCACAGCCGGATTCTCAGGGCTTCTGGTCTGCACTCAGGGCTCACTCTCCTGAGGGCTCAGGGGCCACAGGGGACGCCGGGGTCGAACCCAGCTTGGCTGCAGAAAGGGCAAATGTCCTACCTGCTGTCCTATTGCTGTGGCCCTACACACACGTATTTGATTTAAATCGGTTTAAGATTAAAATAGTTTCACCAGGGCTGGAGCGATAGCACAGCGGGTAGGGCATCTGCCTTGCATGTGGCTGACCCGGGTTCCATCCCCAGCATCCCATATGGTCCCCTGAGCACCACCAGGAGTGATTCCTGAATGCAGAGCCAGGAGGAACCCCTGTGCATTGCGGGGTGTGACCCAAAAAGCAAAAAAGCAAAGTAAAAGTAAGTAAAGTAAAGGCCCTCCCGTTGATCGTCGATTTGCTCGAGCAGGCCCAGTAACGTCTCCATTGGAGACTTTGTTGTTACTGTGTTTGGCATATCGAATACGTCACGGGGAGCTTGCCAGGCTCTGCGGTGTGGGCACGCAGCCAACAAAAAAGCAAAATAAATAAATAAATAAAATAAAATAGTTTCACCAAGTGAACGTGAGGGTCTCCCGTGGCCTCTCTGCGGAGTCCCGTGTAGGGGTGACGTCACTGGGGCGGGGGGGGGGTGCGGCCCACCTGGAGTGGCTGGGAGGGTTTTCTGAGTGACTCTGGGGTGCAGGCAGGAGCTTTGTGGCACCAGGGACCCCGCAGCGCAGGCATAGCAGGTCCCGCTGCCGGGGCACAGACACAGCCTCTTCCCCAAGGGAGGAGGAAGCGTGTACCGGAACAATGAGCACACAAACAAACAAACAAAGATTTCAGATTGGCCAGACACAGTAAGGAAGACACATGAGGTCAGAGCCCGAGAACTGAGGGGGCGGAGGGCAGGTCAGGGCTGAGACGCGGGGGAGGACACCTCTCACAACCCAGCGACACAGACACCAGGACAGAGAGCCGCAGGCCCCAGCCGCCCTGCCTGGGCCAGGAACAAGACTGCTGGCTTGAAAGGGACAGAGGGGCTGGAGCATGGCCCAGCAAGCAGGAAGGGCGTCTGCCTTGCATGTGGCTGACCCGGGTTCGATCCCCAGCATCCCATATGCTCCCCTGAGCACCACCAGGAGTGATTCCTGAATGCAGAGCCAGGAGGAACCCCTGAGCATCGCCGGGTATGACCTTCCCCCCTAAAAAAAAAAAAAGAAAGGCCAAAGCAGCTGCTGCAGTTGCTGGGGAGGGAGACACGGTAGTGTCCAGCTGGCAGAGAGGGCACCACCCCCAGGAGGGGGAGAAGGGACACAGGTGAGCGGTGACGAAAGAACCCAGGCAGAGACCTGGGCCGATGTGGGCGGGAAGGAGCAACAGGGTTCACGTGCACCGGCCCCGTGTCTGCTTCTCCTACAGACC